TTTACCGAGGCAATTAAAGGGAGTAATGAGGAGTGATGTTGTTTTTCGTATGGAAATAAATCCACATTATTGGAGATTGGTTTTCTTTTTCGATAGAAAATCATTTCTCGTTAATGAGGAGTGATGTTTTCTATAAGAAAAATACCTCACTACCTTGTTATTTTATAGAAAAAAATCTTATTTAACTGAGGTTTGATTTTTGTATAATAAAAACATTAAGTTACATCCTAGCAAAATTTAAGATAGAGCTTTAAGATGTTGTACATCCTATTCCTAGGATGATATGTATTGAAAATTGTATGTATCGGCTATAATTTCGTATTTTGATTAGAAAATCGTCCTACCAAAAATTATCAATATGGTTTTTAGGTTAGCCGCCATATAACGATAAACCCTAAATTCCGATTTTTTGAGAGTATCAATTTGTCCAGAGTATGCAAATCAGTTCGGCGAACGTAGTAAAGTAGACCATTCAGTGGTTCGAAGAGTGGTCAACATTTGGAGGATCAAATCATTTGTTTTCTCACGGTAATACTGTTATCGGTTATAGAACGATTGTTTTAACTGCAACGAGTATAATTTTTGATAAAAAAAATCTGCCTGCACCAGACGTAAATTTTTTTCCTAACTTGGTACAGTTTAAGAGCATAACCCTGCAAAATGCCAGGGAAACTAGAACGTCGAATAATATTAGAAATCTATTATTTTTATATGAAATGAAGGACTTTATTTAACATGCTTCGGAATTTCCGATTTAAGCCAAATATGCACCGTTTTGTTCTATGAGATGTTGCCATTTTAATGCCTCTCTCATAGAAGACCTGTTTTCTATTTGCAAAAAACTCTAGTAGTCGATTTTCACAATCACCGTTAGATACCAATTTTTATCATTAAAGAAATTTTGCAATGCAAGATAAGGATGATAATCGCTTGGTGCCAAGTCGGGACTGTATGGCGTATGTATTAAAACTTCCCAACCAAGCTCCCGAAGTTTCTGGTGAGTCATTGTAGATGTGTGTGGGCGAGCGTTGTCCTGGTGGAACACGACACATCTCCCGTTGACCAATTCTGATCAATTGTAAACAATTTTATGGTCGATTTATAGCTCCTGGTCGATGTTACGACTCCCAACATGCCGGTCAATTCGATCATTTCTTCGATTTTATCGACAATATCGACGACCGGCCTACCTGTGCCAGGTGCATCATCAACATCACAATTTCCTGTACGCAATCTACGAAAACAAAATTACGCATAATTAGATGTTACAGTATCGTAACCATAAACACCATTCACAATTTCAGCCGCTTGTCTTGCATTTTCGCCTTTGTCAAAGAAAAACTGTAAGATGTACCGAATTTTCTCTTTGTTCACTCTCATTTTTAACACCCTGAAACTCACAACTGAATGCACCAAACAAAAAAATAACAAAATATGTTTTTACTGCGAAATGCCACCCTTCCATCGAGCATAAATCTGAAATTGTTTAATCGATACTTTACGAGAAATCTCTCTACAGCCATCTGCCGAACAAATAATAGATTTATTTTTCCCTTCTTATAAGAAGGCTCTACGTAAAATATACTTTTTGCCAAAATTTGGATTCCTGGTCCATTTCTTTACAAACATTTCTACCAGAAGTTATTAAGATTGGTCCATGTTTAAATGTGCCCTCCCAATTGCTTTATCAATTTTGGCCCATGTTTTGGAATATTGTGATTTTATGAAGAATCCCCAACAACCAATGAACACATTCAGATTATGTTGGTAATATTGGCATATCGTTCGGTTATTGTCAAGCGCTTTCATTTATGTTTTAAGTTCCAAATTTTTAAATTTTGTGCAAAAAGACTAGCATGGCATCATAACTGATGACGAAACATCATGATTCTGACGTGGAAACCGAGGTCCAATTCTCCAAATGATAAAGTTCACAAATCGAGCCTCAAGTCCGGTTTATATGGTCATTGGATCCCAATGACTTTTTTCCTCTTCTCGAAACTGAAGTCACCGATGAAAAAAAATAAAATAAAGATTAATGCTACGATTAAGGATATATTAGAAAATCCAATATTGTGCTGAAAATACATTTTATAATATAATTTGAATGCAGTATCCACATTTTGCACTCTACCTAATATTTATAATATTTAAAAACTGGGCTAATCGGTTCACTACCTTTTGGTCTCCCTCCTCCCCATAAAGGTTCAACATTTCGAAAATGTTATGTTTTATATGAGGGAAATGGAATCAGTAAGGAAAGAAATAAAGTCGGATTATATGATACCCTTCACCACTTTGGGTATATTGTACTTATGTATCCTAACAGTTTCATGCCAATGTCCCCTCGAAGGAACATACACATGCCTTTCTGCAACTTATGCTAATTTTGATTTCATTCGGGCAGATTTATAGTCTGGATGCACATAATCGGACGAAAATTTGTATGTGGGAGCTATATCTAAATCGGAAACGATTTTCACAAAACTTAGCACACATCATTGTAGACTAAATTCAGTAAGCTACGATAAATTTCGTGCAAATCGAAGAATATATAAGGATCATTTACATTAAATCCGATGAAAGTATATATGGAAGCTATATCTAAATCTGAACCGATTTACTCGAAACCTAACACACATCATTCCACTTTTAATTCAGTACGGCCTGCAAAATTTCGTGCAAACCAAAAGACTTTGCTACACCAGTTAAATTAAATCGGACGAAAATGCATATGAGAGCTATATCCAAATCTGAACCAATTTTTCGAAACTTGACACACATCATTCAATATTTAGGGGCTTTGGTATACCATTTACATAAAATCGGACGAATATATATATATGGGAGGTATATCTAAATCTGAACCAATTTTTCTCAATTTCAATAGAGTTCGTTCTTGGGCCAAAGAAATGAGCTGTGCCAAATTTCATACAATTCGGGTTATAAAAGCGACCTATACTTCGTTTACTATTTAACATGGACAGACGGACGGACATGAACAAATCTACTCAGAAAGTGATTCTATGCATATACTCAAAAGAAACCATGTGTCTATCTAGTTTCATTTTGCCTGTTACAAACATGAACAACAAGGGTATAAAACATGAACAACAAGGGTATAACCTCAGTTCACTGAGGCTAGTTTGTTTCTTTAGAAGAAAATCATCACACCCCAGTTCACTGAGACCATTTTTCCAAAGAAATAATTCGGCAGTCTTCAGTTTACTGAGACTAGTTTTTTCGATAGAAAAATTAAGCATGAGAATGCTTTTCTATGGAAAAAACAGGACTCAGATATAAAGCATGGGGGAAGTATTATATGATGGGAATGGAATATTGAATTTCATCAAAAGCTTGTACATAGTAATATTCCCAACCGAAATCAATGCCGATGATGGGACTCGTCGGTTCTCAAGTGAATGGAGAGTCCGAGATGATCCATTGACCATAGGTGACCATACGTCCTCTTCATTAGAGGAAAATCATTCTTATCCATCTATATTTCTTAAACCTTGATCCACGGTATAATTATAGATACGACTTGTCAATAAAATACGAATAAATAGAAAATGAATAAACAAATTTCAGAATTATCTATTTTTGGATATGTTGGTGTTGAGTGCAATCTTTGTAAGTTATGAACATTAAATGAATACCAAGTTTTCTGAATTGAGTTTTCGTGTGATATTAGTATTACTTTCTACCAACAACTTTACCTTATTTTATTACACCATGATTATTGTTTATTGCAATTTTAGTAAAATATGCTCGTTCCCCGTTTTGTAAAAAATACAAATAAATTGTTAATTTTTTTCCTGACGCCATCTATTTTCATTTCCCAAATCTGGTCGCCTTAACATTGCTATACTCCGAAGATAGGAACTATCTTCGAAGGTGAATCCCATAGGCATACTCTTTCTGATACCTCCTTCAAAAACTTTCATATTAAAAAAATAATTCAACGAAGTATTCGAATTGATCCTTTGATTGCATTTGGAGACATTTCTATGAAAGTTATATTAAATCCGAAGAAGGGGTCCCGCAACTGGTTAAAACTTTTATTGAAATAGTTATCGCAATATTGGTTAACAAATCTATTTACCGAAATTATCGATATTTTCTCGATTCAGCCCCCGATTATAATGAAATATCCGTCAAAACTTCATACCAAAAACTATTAATATTGGTGTACCGTTTTGTAATATAACCATTTCAGACACTGGTTTAAATCCTTGAAAAAAATCAATATCTTATCCTGACCAAAGAAATACTAAGAATTTAAAAGTGAAATATCCCTTTCATGAAAACAAAAAATAAATTGTGTTTCTACCACAAATAAACTTAATTGAAACGTAGTTGGAAATTGAAACTGAATGATATGGAATTACAATTCCCCAGATAACCTAACATCATCCTCAGTCTTTATTAGGACCTTTGCGGTTAAAACATACACACTCATTCCCACAATATGTGTGTGTGTTTTTTTTTCTTTAAGTGAATAATAATCATTTAATTAATACCCCAAGGAGTAGTCTCGAGTACAATTTCATGTCCTTAGCCAATGTAGTGCTAAGAAATAATCAGAAGTCCTGCAGAGAACAAAGGAAATATGTACATTTCACACTATCGCACTCTCTCCCTATGTTTTCTTGGAGCATAAGGATATGTACATTTACAATGTATACATTATGTATATATACATATAACAAAAAATTATCCTGTAGCTTAACAATTTCTTGCATTAGTTTTAACTTTACGTGCCAGCCTTATATAACTAACCAATAACAACACTTAAAGCTAACTTGTACTTATATTTATCTCACCCTCCACCACTCTTTTCTTCTCATTACAGATGTTTAAGTTAAACACAATGAACTGAATTGAAAAGTTGTGTAAAACGTCCTTACCTCACACACAAACCGCACACTCACACAAAGGGGGAGACGAACAAAGTTTCTCAACTTCACAAGGAGCGACAGGTCCAGCAGCCCAGCCGGAAGCAGAGCAACATCCCTAGTTGTTGTTGTTGCTGTTAGTGCATTTGTGTTACAAAACAAAAGCAATTATGGCCGAACAGCAAAAACTTTCACTATGTCCACGTTTGGTCGACTACCTGGCTATTGTGGGAGCCCGCACTACACCGCCCATACACAAAGGACTGCCGGGCAACAAAACACCTCCGGTGCAAGTGAGTAAACACAAAATCGACACGGACAATGAAACCACATAAAAAGAAAACAAAAAACTCCCCTCGTCAAATAAAGGACATCAAGTCAAATGTTACGAAGAACTTTGCAAAAAACTGCAATACTTAATTACTTTTAGAAGAATTGTTTTCCATTGAAACTCGTGTGGACTACACGAGGATACAAGCAAAAGGATTGACCAAAGATATTAGTCACATGCACTGAGTCATTGTCCGATGCATCTACAGATACTTTTTTCTTTATAGAAAAATCACAGGTCTGTTGATTTTTTTTTTACAGAAAATAATCAGTCTCAGTTCTCAGAGACATAGGTCTGAAAAATGCCTCAGTGAACAAGGGTCTGTCGAAATGTTTCCTATAGAAGAATAATGAATCAGTGAACTGAGGCCTGTCGAATTTTTTTCTGTAGAAGAAAAATGGCTCAGTGAACTGAGGTCTGTCAAATTTTTCTTGAGTTTTTTCGTATAGAAAAAATTGTGAGAATTTTTTTTCTCTGAGAATTTTTTCGTATAGCCTCAGTTTTCATAATATTTTCTCGTATAGAAAAAAATCAGCCCCAAAAAATTTGTGAATTAAGGTATACGGATTCATTTTCTATAAAAAAACTGTCGATAGAAAAAAATTCGACAGACCTCAGTTCACTGAGGCTATTTTTTTTTCTATAGAAAAAAAATCGATAGACCTCAGTTCCCTGAGGCTAGTTTTTTTCTATAGAAAAAAATCGACAGACCTCAGTTTCCTGAGGCTAGTTTTTTCTATAGAAAAAAATCGACAGACCTCAGTTCCCTGAGGCTAGTTTTTTCTATAGAAAAAAATCGACAGACCTCAGTTCCCTGAGGCTAGTTTTTTCCAAAACAAAAAAAAAAAATTGACAGACCTCAGTTCATTGAGGCTTTTTTTTTCTATAGAAAAAAATTCAAAAGTTCTCAGTTCACTGAGGCTAGTTTTTTTCTATACAAAAAACATCGACAGACCTCAGTTCACTGAGGCTAGTTTTTTCTATACAAAAAAAAAAGACAGAACTCAATTCCCTGAGGCATTTTTTCTATAGAAAAAATTAGACAGGCCTCAGTTCACTGAGGTATTTTTTTCATAGAAAAAAATTGACAGACCTCAGTTCACTGAGGAATTTTTTCCACAGAAAAAAATCGACAGACCTCAGTTCACCGAGTCATTTTTCCATAGAAAAAAATCGACAGACCTCAGTTCACAGTGGTATATTTTTCTATAGAAAAAAAAATCGACAGAACTCAGTCCACAGAGGTATTTTTTCTATAGAAAAAATTCGACAGACCTGAGTTCATTGAGGCTAGTTTTTTCTATACAAAAAAAAATCGACATACTTCAGTTCACTGAGGCATTTTTTTCTATAGAAAAAAATCGACAGACCTCAGTTCACTGAGGCATTTTTTTATAGAAAAAATTAGACACACTTCAGTTCACTGAGGTATTTTTTCCATAGAAAAAAATCGACAGACCTCAGTTCACTGAGGAATTTTTTCCAATGAAAAAATTCGACATACCTCAGTTCACTGAGGCATTTTTTTCTATAGAAAAAATTCGACAGACCTCAGTTCACTGAGGTCTTTTTTTCATAAAAAAAATCGACAAACCTCTGTTTACTGAGGCATTTTTTTCGATAGAAAAAAATCAACAAAAGAATCTGTTGTCTATAGCAGAGTTCTCGTCGAAAGGAGAGTTCTTCAAAATTTTACATTCCTTTTTCAGATTCCCGAACTATTACGACGTTATCCACCATCTGATCATGCTGACTTTCCGCTACCTCTGGATATGGTGTATTTTTGTCAACCCGAAGGATGTACGACGGTGGGGCCACGACGAACTGGCTCCGCCATACGTGATATGACCTCATTTGTGTTCGCATTGACTGATAAGGATTCGGGTAAGACCCGATATGGAATTTGTGTGAATTTTTACCGGCCCGTTGATAAACCACAACCGAATGCGGATAAGGCACAGGGTCACAGTACAACACCGACAGCACAAAGTGGACGAGGCCGGCGTAGTTCGGCATTTCGCCGCGAATCATGGCGAAAAAGTATGGAACGAAGTTCTGACTCGGCATTCAGTAGGCAAGTATAAATGTGACCAGTTATAAACAGTAAAGAAAGCTTTTCATCGAATTGGATTCATGCTTTGTAGTTAGAGTAGATAAGTAGTCCTCCTCCCTCTCTCTCTGACTTTATCCTAATCCAAAAATAAAAATGTACCCCCTCTTTTTGTAAATATATAATTTCGCTTGTACCATTTGTAGCGCTTAACATTTTGCACTTTGATATAATTCTCTTAATAGTTACGGCCTTCTAACTTCTTCTAGCGACTACAGAAGTAACGTCGCACCCAGTGATTCAGACCGTGAAATGACATCCCGCAGAGATTCCGATACGCAACATGGCCAATATGGCGGTGGTAATCATGGTGGTCAATACATGTCACAGCAGCAGCAAGTACCTAAATTAGGTCTAATGGCACCCTCAGGTGACTCTGAGTCTGGCGGAAGTCATTCACCCTCACCGCGTGCCTCAAGAAAACGCACCAAGTTGCGTAATCAATCGCTGACATCATTGTGCATCATTTCCCACCATCCCTTCTTTACAACGTTTCGTGAATGTCTGTTCATCCTGAAGAAGATAATCGATGCGTGTAATGAATCGTCGTCGCCCAAGCGATTGGGTGCCTCTTCACAGAAACAATACAAAGACAATGTGTGGACAGTGTTGACAGGTCTGGCCACTGATTCGACATCATCGATAATGTTGCACGATGTCAAAGAGATTGAAACATGGATTTTAAGATTGTTATCGACACCAGTTCCAATACCGGGATCAACAAGGGTTGAGGTGAGTGAAAATGGGAGAAAAATTATTTTATTTTATTAAGGCTCTATTTAAAAAATAAGCCTCCGTTCTCTGAGGTATTTTTTCGTATAGAAAAAATCGGCCTCAGTTTCTGAGGCTTTTTTCAGTTTTTGAGGCACTTTTTTCATCAGAAAAAAATCAATGTAAGGATATTTTATAGAAAAAATAGCCTCAGTTCATGAGGATTTTCTCTATAGACAAAAATGCGTCTCAGTCCTTTTCGGAAGTTTTGTAAATCATCCTCAGTTCTCTAAGGAGTTTTTTCTATAAAAAATCAGTCTCAGTTCTGAGAGGATTTTTTACTAAAGAAAAAATTCAGCCTCATTTCACTGACTATTTTTTTTCTATAGAAACAGTTTATCCGCAGTGCTCTGAAGCATATTTTCTATAGAAAAAAATCAAAGCTCAGTTTTCTGAGGCATTTTTTTCTACAGCAAAAAAAAAATCTAGCCTCAATTCTCTGAGACATTTTTTCGTAAAGAAAAAAATTGAGCTTCAGTTCTCTGAGGCAGTTATTTGAGATATTTTTTCACTATAGGAAAAAATTAAACCTCAGTTTTCTTAAGTCTTTTTTTCTTTAGAAAATAAATCAGTCTAAAGATATTTTCTCTATAGCAAAAATTAGCCTTAGTTTACAGAGGACTTTTTCTGTATAGGAAAAAACTAGTCTCAGTACTCTTCGGAATTTTTGTAATTAAAAAATCAGCCTCAATTGTCTGAGATTTTTTTTTCGTATAGAAAAAATCATAGCCATAGCATAGGGATTTTTTTCTATAAAAAAATCCAGCATCAATTCTCTGAGGCATTTTTCTATAGAAAAACATACAAACTCAGTTCTCTGAAGCATTTTATCTATAGAAAAGATCCAGACTCAGTTCTCTCAGGCATTTTTTCTATAGAAAAAAAAACAAGCCTCATTTTACGTAGGATTCTTTTCCTGTAGAAAAAGAATCATACCTCAGTTTCAAGCCTCTGTTCTCTTAGGCATATTTTTCGTATAGAAAAAAATTAGTCTCAGTTCTTTAAGCATTTTTTCGTATAGAACAAAATCAGCATTAGTTAACTGAGGATTTTTTCTCTATAGGAAAAATCAGCCTCGGTTCAGGGGCATATTTTTTCTATGAAAAAAAAAGCTTCTGAGGGTTTCTTCTATGGAAAATTTGAAAAAATCTTATTTTTTCTATAGAAAAAAATCGGCTTAGTTATCTTAGATACTTTTTCATATAAAAAAATTAGGCTAATGTATCTGAATTATTTTTTCATATGGAAAATTATTAATTTTTTAAACTGTCTTTTTTTTCTATTTCTTTCCAGGTTGGTGTTCTCTCTCCCACAATCCATGATCCGCTAACATTTGCCCTACCCGATCATACACGTTTCTCCTTGGTTGATTTCCCACTACATCTGCCACTCGAGCTATTGGGTGTGGAGACGTGTTTGAAGGTTTGGACACTGATAATGTTAGAGAACAAGGTGTTGTTTCAATCGCGTGACTATAATGCCCTTTCAATGTCAGTCATGGCATTTGTAACAATGTTATATCCATTGGAATATATGTTTCCTGTTATACCATTGTTGCCAACTTGTTTGAGTTGTGCCGAACAATTACTGTTGGCGCCAACACCCTTTGTTATAGGGGTGCCGGCAACATTTCTGGTTTATAAAAAGAATTTTAGGTAAAGTATTCAAAAATTAATTTTAATTTTGAAATTATTTCGAATACATATTTTTCTTATGTTGTTGTATTTTAGGTTACCCGATGATATTTGGGTTGTGGATTTAGATTCAACTAAGTTGACGCCACCCTCAGGAGGTTACGATGAAATCCCACCGCTTCCCGAGCCAGAGGGTACCATTTTGAAAAATCACTTAAAGCAGGTATGTTTTTATAAATTTTGTAACTTTGATCTATTACGAATTTGAAATAAGGGTCCAATGTTTCTGGTTGTCGTTGGAAATTCAGACGTGGTTTCTATCTATCCTTGTTAAAGTCTCTAATTTGGTCTATGTCTCCGCGGTTGATTAAAGAATGACCTTTATTTGACATCCAGAAACAAAATTGTACATTGTTAATGAAACATACATACATATACGTGTATATTGTGCCAAACATAAATGTTTATTGTCCAAAATTCATTGGAAACAAAAATAATCAAATCTGTCAAGCTTTGTCAATGTACAGCTCAGTCATAAATTCGAACCATTACATTATATTTTTCATAAACTAACACAAATTTTATGATATTGTCTTATTTCTCTATAAATAAATTGGATTGAATTATTTATTTTTTTCTAAATTTTTCTTAAAAATTGGCTAACTATTAAAAATTATTTTTTTTATATAAAAAAATAAAATATTTTCCTTTAAAAACAATTTATTCTAATTTTCTTCTCTATCTCTTTCTATGCTGTAAACAAATTTAAATAAATCATATAATAAAACAACAACAAATCATATAACATCTAATTCGTGTGTCATTTGTCAATAAACAAAACAAAAAAACTAAAAACCACACAGGCTATGCAACTAATGGATGAAGCTGGAATTTGTGTAAATATCTTATCTCTCTGTGAATATTATCTTATATCTATCTATTTTCCCCCGACTTCCTGCCTATTGTATGTCATTGCATGTTGTTTGTCATTTATTATTTTTTCATCCGACTGTACATATGTATTTATTTATATGTATTAGTATTTGTGTTAATTTAAGAATAGATTTATTTTAAGATAATTAAGCCACGAATTGACTGTCGTTTTGGGTCACATTGGGTAAAAATGTATATTACTAAAAAATTATCAATATCGATTCAACATCCCCATATTATAGTGGCTCCTTAATTTCGAAATGTTTTGATTGGGTTTCCCATTAGGTAGAATATCTCTTAAGAGGAATATTCAAAATTTGTCGGTTTAGCCTCTATACAAGGGTGTCCTCCTCAATGTTTTCAGTCTGTCTGTCATTCTGGAGGATGGTGCGCATGATAGACAGCTCCCGAAGGAAGTTACAGATTTCCACACCGATTTATCTTCAACATATAAAAAATTCAGCTGGATGTGCTTTAGGGATACGCAGTCCAGAGCAAAAGTCGATTTTTAGATTTTTGCTTCTGACCAAAAAGTAAAATGTTAGACTGTTCGATTTTATCGATTTTTCGTTTTTGTCAAACCTGTTCAAAACCGATTTTGGACTTTTTCTAATTTTGATTTATTATATAAATTGTTATCAACAGATAAAATAAAGTTCTGGAAATAATAATTTTTAGGCAACTTGGGTTTTTTGATAATAAATGAAGTATTTATGAAGAACATCGAAAGTCGATCTTGAAACTGTGATTTCCTCACAGTTCAAAAGTCGACTTCGACTTTCAGACGTTTCTATACAAAAATTAATCGAATGTCGATTTGCTTATTTCTAGGATTTGCGATTTGCGGCTCTAAAAGTTTTTTATTTATTTTTTTAGTGACCACCTTCTTTAAAAATATGACATATTCATGAAATGGTTATGAGGTAAGGATTGAATATGTTATTTCTGCCACTCAAGAAATGATTGAGGGCCACATAGGAAGGATTACGACGGATTCAGAACATCGTAATCATATAACATTGTACATAAAATTTGCAATTACTTGGTAAAAATATATATCATAAGCCGATATATGATATCATAAGCAGAAAAACTATAGTGAGTTTATAGTTAAAACACATATTACTATCTTCATCCAGTTTGAGGAAAACTTTACATTTGCGATTTTTTCAAGACCCTTTGTATGGAAGGTATACCAAACCTGGTCCGATCTATTCAGTTTTTCGTTAGTTGATTTTTACGCCTAAGTAGATGCCAATGTTCGTTGAATTTGGTAAATATTAACGATTTTATAGGCCGAAAGAGTTAATTTTTCAAGAGCCATTATATGGGAGGTATACCAAATCTTGGTCCGATCTATACAACTGTTTGTTTTTAGGCCAGTAGTAAGGACTTTTACAAAATTCCATCTACGTACTATAATTCTTTCTAGGTTTGACCGTTGTTAATATGAACTCGAGGCATAGTGCATCACAATATCGAATGTATGACGATGGATGAATTTATTTTCTTTAATTCATACATGCTCTATCTTAAAAAACGTAGCCAATTTCAAAAGTATGCACCTGTCACAACACCTTACAACAACCCTATATTAATGATAATAAATTGGTGGAGCATTAGAATAACTTGTACACTTTTAGCCCGAATCAGCATTCTTACCACAACCCTACATACCAAGAATGATCCCCATAGAACAAAAAATAGCACATTAAGTATATTTTAGTACTTTTACAACGAACACTTTTCGTTGCATCTGACCATCAAAGAATATTTTATTTTTTCCTAATTACAAACTTCTAGGCATGCCCGATTGCCCAATACCATATTTATAATTTGTAGTAGCTTTCTTTATCCAAAGGTCTATTAACACGGCCTGTACAATCTTCCACCATAATACGTGCCTGCAATCTAGGGATATGTATGAAGTTTATTTATCCATTGAGAAGTACCAAATTACCGAAACTTAAATTGAAAACACACTATATTATATATATATATATTTTTTTTTTTCAAATATAATTACTATATTATAAAAGATACCTTTTTTGGTACATACAAGAGAGGAAGACCAATGAAATGGAATGGGGCGAAAAAAATTGTGATCTCTTCAGATATTTGAACCAATAATAAACCATATGCATACTATTTTGAAATCTATGAAAAATGTCATGTAACGACTCAATTGTCTTCCGAATTGCTGGGTCAAGGTCCCGGCGGCCAGTATCCGTCACAGAAATTTATATCTGTCAGCGACAGGAGTAAGAAAACATAGTCTTCTGTTTTTAGGGCAGGTAGGTTTTATTGTTAATGTATTTCGGCACATTTGGTACTGGGGGGTGACTGGGGCGCCGGTGCGTTCTGTAGGCGTAGTGGATTTGGACAACTCATTAACGTCCAATATATATACTTTATACTGGGGCCCTTGGAAATGATTAGTTCCAATGGCTTAGGATAACTCACTAGAGGTACGTCGAACTTCCTGCAAGAGGCTTTTTTCCAATTCACTTCACCGTGATCGGGGCAGGTGGCAATAGCAACTCACCTGTTGTTTCGTGTGTGGTGTTGGTGGTTTCAGTAATGGTCACAACAAAATATCACAGACATCAAACTGGACTTATTTTAGCTCACCTGTTGCAAAATTTTGATCAATCGTGGACAAATATTGGGATTTTTTGGTGTACCATATTACATAAAATGTACAAATTATATATTATATATCGAAATCTGGACCGACTTCAACAAAAAACTTCACAGACATCAAACTGAACTGAATTCAATATACTGGTTAAAATTTTGTTTCAATCGGGTAAACCTTCGGAGTCATATTTAAATCTGAACCGATTTTCTCCAATTTGAATAGGGTTCGTCCTTGAACCAAATTTCATCAAAATCGAGTCATAAATGAGACCTGTATTTTTTACAATTTAACATTAATAGAATAGACGGCGATGCCATGCATTCTCAAGGGGAACCATGGGTATATCTCCTTTTCTTTTGCCTCTTACAAACATATGCACAGAAACATAAAACACAGTGTGGTGAAAGGTATACAAATCTGTTCCCAATAAAATACTTTTTTGTAAATATTATTGAACGAGTTACTATTTTTTCTTTAACGTATCCATTTCATTCTTATAATTTATCTATTTTTTATTTATTTCCTCTGCATGTAAAGCTTATTGTAACCTGCACCACAACTGTACAGAAACAGTCAATCATAACTCAACTGCCCATTAACATACCATAAAATATACTGAAATACATATTCCCCCTATCCAAGTAAAATAACATTTTAGATTTAATTCTATAATGATTTTGAGTTAGATATATCCTAATAATGTATTGTTTTGAAATTTCAAAATTAATTAAATAATTTCAATAAAACAGGCTTTAAATTCAATGGCCAATGCAACACCGGTTATGCCACCAGGACAACAAATGATACCAACGCCAAGGGATAGTATGACCGATTCGGGAATGTTGGGGTAAGTAAAATAAAATTAATATAAAATAAAAAGAAATAAATATAAAATAGCATTAATGTGAACAATTAATACTATTTTTTAAGTATAAAAAATATTTTAGTTAATATGAACAAATTTAATTAATTACGTTTTGATTATTGATATTTAATTTTATTATATTTTTTAGTTGTTGTTTTATTATTTAATACTAATTTGTTTTTACTATTTTTTTTAATTTTAAATTTTTTTAATTTATATAAATAAATTAATTAAAGCTTATTATAATTATTATTAATTAATGTTTTCTAGCTTCTCACAAAGCCGCCTGCCTGTCCAATCCCCCTCACAGTCGGCCTATGCGAGCCAAAGAAATTCTGTATCTACCCAGGGGGCAATGTCACGTCAGCCAAGTCCCATGAATTCACCGGCTTTGAATCCTTTTGTCTTTGGCACCGATGTTGATTCGGTGGATGTGGCCACCAGGGTTGCCATGGTAAGAAATTTCTCTTATGACGCTTTTTATTACATATTTAAAACCACTTTTTCTTCCAGGTACGTTTCTTCAATTCCCAAAACACACTGGCCAACTTTGCCGAACATACACGCACCCTGCGACTCTATCCCCGACCCGTAGTGGCTTTCCAAATCAATAGCTTTTTACGTTCAAGACCTAGAGCATCACAGTTCCTAAATATGTTTGCCAAAACTCAGGCTGTGGAATTTTTGGCCGAATGGTCGTTGACTCCAACCAATGTGGCATTTTTAAGGGTACAAACTGGGGTGATGGATCCCCAGCAAGTGGGCGACAAACCTAAATGGTTTGCCAACTCGTTAACACCCATCCGTTTTGCCGTTTGGGATGATAATAGTTCCTTGAATGGTGCCATGAAGGCCCTTAAACAATTGGAATCTGCGGCCACCGATGAGAGTGGTTCCGATTCTGAGGGTGCTGATAGCTCGAGTTCCTCATATTCATCGTTAAGTGATTTTGTCTCAGAAATGGTTTCATCCGATTTATCGCCTAGCTTGCATGATGTCTTTGGGTCGCACAATCGTCAACATAATGTTCCGAAAACATTGTCCACAAACTTAGATCCAGCCTTGGTCTATCATCCGCCAAGTAAACTGCAATATCCGGAAGGTATGGTTGAACAAATGTCTTCCAAAGAGGATGAAGATGATCGTCCGGAAAGTCCAATGTCATCGTCATCGAGTCGTTCGGATTTAAGTTCACCTAGTTTTAATCGTGATTCGGAATTTGATTTTCCCTCCAAGTCATTTGAATTGGCAGCACCGGTGGCGCAGAGATTGGAGGCCACCATAAAAGCGGGTAGTGTGGAGCAGGAAACGACAGAGGGTACTACCACGCTGTGTGTTAAGACGCCGGTGTCACGGACCAGTAGTGAAAAGAGAATACCGGTAAGAGAGGGAGAGGAAATCGAAATAAATTCAAGAAAATATAACCATTTTCCCTTCTAGCCCCCCATAACTCCGGTAAAACAACCCAGTGTCACAAATATACTGTCAAGAGCCGGTAGCTCTGGTTCGAGTTCTAGCAGCCCTGGCAGGCAAAGTTCTCAGGGTTCGCTGTTTGAAAATATTGCCTCCCATGCCAAAGATTTGGTACGTGAAACCACCCGGCAAAGTAGTCAAGAGGGTATTTTGGCCCACATGGATAAGGTAGGTAGTATGAGCTGAGACATACTGAGCTACGGCTCAGGACTTCAAAGGAACTAAATGTTGTGTTGATGTGTGCGTGTTTTTTATATGATTTTTTTGTTTTTATATAATTTTCGTTTCTTAAAACAACAATTTCCCCATCCACCAACAACAACAACTACACATATATATTTTTATATATCTCAACAACTTCTTAGAGTTCTCTGGATGATGATCTAGAAATAGATGATAAAATGATTCAAACATTTGAAAAGGTTTGTAAAAAAGAAATTTTCTCGAAACGAAAAACTCCTTCATCCACCTAGCACAGGTTTCTTCTCACCGCAGAGAAACAAATCAAAATTCCAAATTTCTAAAAATTCAAAAATTTTGATAATTATATCGGCTTAAAAATGTGTTTCCCAAAATTGGTTTTCTTACAAAATAAAAAATAAACCCCACATATTTAGCTTCATATTCGCTTTTCTGCAAAAAAATCAAACCATTATTTTAATTTTATTAATCAAAAATCCGAAACATTCCTAATTGGTTCGCTTTTGAAAATCTAACTCTAGTAGAATTAGTTATCTTTGAAATCTCATGTTTTAAAGCAAAACAAGTTGGGCGCCACTGATTCATGAATCCAAATTTAAAACACTAAATCCATTTTGCTCACAATATTTTAAGATAGAATTGTGAAATTTTCCACATACATTGCTACTACGCCTTAGACGTTTGGTATTAAAAATGGGAAATATCGGTCCACGTTATGGTGTAGTCTCCATATAACGACACGCCTCTATATTTTGGTCACGTTTTGAACCAAATTGGCTATAACTTAAAATTTTGAATTCTTATTGAGTAGAAAATCTTCCTACCAAAAATTATAAGTGTCGATTCATGTTTTAGAATAGCTCCCTTAATAAGGTCCCACACATGTTACGGTATTTTATGCTGCTGCAGGATGCTGCAAATTGGAATTACGAGTTCCGTGGAGAGCAAAAAATATTTTTAGAGAACAATTTCGATATACATCAATGCTTTGACAGAGTTCTAATATAGCGGTATCGCCCCATTTTTGGGGTTTCCATATTATATTTGTAAAAAATCTACCCTTTGATAGTCCTCCATAAAAAAATATAAACCGCATTGGTATGGTTCAATAATGTCTTTGGACATTGGCATCAATCGTTCACACAGCACACTGGATAGCACATTATATGCGATGGTAAGAAGGCTTATTCCTCTTTATTTGGCACATACCGTCTTGTCTCCTTTTTTGTGCACGGGACACAGGATGCTGAGGTTCCAATCATTGGGCATGCATTGCTGTAGGCAAATTGTACTAATCAGCTGGTGCATGCTCCTGACCAGCATCTGACCACCAGTCTTGAATAGTTCGGCTGGTAACTCGTCAGCTCCTGCTGCTTTATTGTTCTTGAGCCGATTAATTGATTTTATGACCTCATCTTGGCTAGGTGGTATACACTCAATACCATCATCACGTATTGGTTTTGGGATATCGTCTTCACCGCCACTATTTGATACCAAATCCTCAACACGTTGTCTGTATCTGTCACCAGGTTTTCTTCTTCATCTCTACAGGAGGATGTGCCTGCACCAAAGCCTTGGGTTTGGTGTTTTACTCGTTGGTAATACTTCATTCGGACTTCATTCTGACTCCTGTACATCTCGATTTGCTCACGCTCACGTTTTTATTGTTCTTTCTTCTTCTGAAAACACGTTTCTCCTCTATTCTTTTCTCCCGATAATTCTCCATAACATTACGTGTTGCTACTGTCTGTAGGGTTGCCCTATACGCTGCGTTTTTCAGATCAGTAGCATTACGACACTCCTGATCGTACCATGGGTTTCTTGGTGGTGGTTTTTGGTACCCAAGTGTTGCTTTTGCTGCAGTATGTAGGGAGTGGGCAATTCTTTGCCATTGTGCTTCTATACTATTATCGAGACAAGAAGTGCTTTCGCCAAGCAGGTGGGTAAGTTGAGCGGAGGAAGCCTCGGCTTCCTGTTGGGTTTGCAGCTTATCGCACCTTTGCTACAACATTAATACGAGTGGAAACCTTGGCTGCTACAAGCTAGTGGTCCGAATCGATATTCGTTCCTCGGATCGATCGAACGTCTAATACACTAGATGAATGCTTTCCGTCTATCACAACATGATCAATTTGATTTCTCGTTGCTTGATCAGGAGAAATCCAGGTGGCCTTGTGTATATCGAAAATAATTCTTGAATCTGGTGCAGCTAACTACCACGTTTTTTCCTTCCGCGAAATCAATCAACCTCAAGCCGTTGTCGGATGTTTCTTCGTGAAGGCTGACTTTTCCGACGATGGGACCAAAGATATTTTCCCTTCCGATTTGGCATTAAAATCTCTTAGCGGAATTTTAATGTCATGGCCAGGACAGCGATCATATGCTGTTTCTAGGCGCTCATAAAATATGTCTTTGGTCTGCTCATCTTTGTATTCTGTCGGAGCCTGGGCGCAAATAAGACTGATGTAGAAGAACTTCGCTTTTATGCGGATTATAGCAATTCGCTCATCTACTGAAGTGAATCTGGAAACTAGGTCTTTTATTCTCCTGATACCCATAAATCCGCAGACAAATTCATGTCTCGTTTCATGACTGCTACAATACGGCTTTGTACTTCTTAAGTTCATCCGCCAAAGCGAAAACTGCGCCTGTTCTGTACAAAGTGCGCACATTCCAAGTGCAGATTCGCAGATCGTCATACTTTATACGTTTACGGGGGTCGTCAACATAAGGGCGTTTGGTTTTCATTTTCTTTGCCTTTTCATAGTAGAAGGGGTTTTCCGAGTTTAGGCAACTAACCCGACGTGTCAACCCATTTTTTATAGTTTTTATGGGTGAACTCGCGGCACATATTAGCTCACTATTTCAACGGGTGATGGTCAACAATTGAGATGAAAGAGGGACCAAGTCTGGACTTCACCACGTTAAAGCCAATAAATCGTTGCTTCGAAAATATTTCCGAAAATGATTTTTTTAACTCACTCTTAGAAAGACCTTCAGAAAATATTCGTATACAAATTCTTCTGTATGGCAATCCATTAGAAAATCTTCTTTAAAAAATTCACGCTTATTGGTTAGGTAGTCCTAGTATAAAAAACCCACGCTTAATTAATTTTAGTGTCCTTCATGCGTATTTGTGTAACATGCTCAAAAAATAAGCTCAGAAAAAAAAAATTTAAAAATCACACAGCACATACGCCTCCTTATCCTCCACATTTTTTATTAGATTTAAAATTCAAAAGTATCTCTAAGCACTATTTAAAAAAAAGTAGATTGGAATGTCTAGAACCTCTTTTTTCTATAGAAAACTAATTTATTAAAATAAACTCATTTCCGTTCAATTAGCTAACCTTGCATGCCAAGAAGGCAGCTGGAGAAGCTTCCAAGCAGGCTTTGGAGGTGTCAAAACAGGCAGCGGGTGTGAGCAAGAATACTTTCGAAGATCTGAGTTATGTTAGCAAATCAACATTGGGAGATTTAACAAAAACTGCCAAGGAGGCTGCCAGTAAAAAGGGTCTAATAAAAATTGATGAAAAGACAGGAGCTGCAATGCAAGCCCCAACCACTGGCACCGGTCAAGTGGCAACACAAAAACAAATGACAAATTCACCCAGTAGTGGCAGTAATTTCTTTTCCAATATTGGTACGGACTTTAATGGATTGGCCTCATCGACCAGTACCATGTTTTCGGGAATGTTTGGAGGAAAAAGTAAGTCTGTCTCTACGGCTCTCTATGGGATGACTCAAATTTTTTATTTTACTTGTTTTTGCAGAAAATCAACAAAAACCTCAACAACAGCAGCAGCAACAACAATATCATCCACAGACCATGGGTCCCAAATCAAAAAGTGGTCTTGGCTTTGATCCTTTCCCTGGGCGTAAAGGTCTGGTAGAACGTACACCCTTAATAAAACATTCAGGGCCCCACAAAACTCAAGAAGAAATAACACGACAACAAAATCAGGAAAGGTCACACAGCAATGCCGAAAATCAAGCCTTCTTAAAGGATATGACCACCCAGGTATTGGCCGGTGAAGGTATTGGTTGGCTGAAAATGAATCGTTTCAAGAAACTAATGGAAGATGAATCCTACCGGACATTTGTCCTCAGTAAGCTCAACAAGACATTGGATAAAAAAATTGCTCCCGATGATCACATCGATGATATGGTAAGTTTAAAGTAGATGTGATAAGTCTTAAAATAATAATTATTATTTGATGTAAATCCTTTTCAGTGCATCTCCAAACCCGTTTGGAAGGGCATGCTGAAATGCCTACAGGCCATTACGTCTGGCCTTGAGGTAACCTTTGCCAATTTCGGTTTAGGTGGCATGGCATCGGTTTTCCAAATGATGGAAATTGCTCACACCCATTATTGGACCAAGGAGCTTAACGATGCCAGTGATATGTCATCGAGTTTGTTGTCCAGTCATGCCACCAGTCCAATGGGTAGTCGTGAAAATCTTCGATCTCCTTCAAGTCCAAATGGTTCTCATTCGGGCCTCGGCAGTGAATGGGCTTCACCGCAAGAATCACGTAAAAGTTCTACCCATACAGATCGTTCGGGCCCCACAATTCATGGTATGAGTGGCCAGAATATTGGACACAATAGGCGTCTCTCGACGGCCGATAGTCAGGATGGCCAGTCGACAACGGAAATGTTTAAAGATATGTTGGCCCAGAAACGTTCGGCGTTATTGAGTAAATTGACCTCATTTGATTCTGATGTAAGTATGAATGTGTTGAGATGTTTTTGTGTTTTTTAATCGTATCTTTTGCTGCACATCCAAAAATATATGCCATTTTTTGTTGTTGCCCATATGGCTGATTTTTCAAATGATGAGAAGTTCGAGAAAGGATTTTAGATATATATTTTCAAACATCTGAGATCTGGATTTTTATATTTAGCCAACTCATGGAACATTGAAGCGTCCAATGGCATGTATCTACAGGGCCATGATACTCCGATAACTCAGCGGTACTTCACCACATGCACTCCTTCCTTCCTCCTTTTTCTCAATGCTAGTAGTGCACATATTTAATGACAAGTTATAATTCACTTTTTTACTTTACTATTTGTACAAGCCGTTTGTTGGCTGGAAATGAATAACAATTTTAATCATTCCAAGGGTTAGGAAGTTTTCCAACACAAAATCATACCCAAGAGGTACATAACAACAAACCACAGATCAGTAAGAAAGTGAAATTGGAACGGAAAGGTGTTGCTACCATAACAAAACCTCAAAGGAAAATTCGACATCAATAAAATAATGCCCAATCCATATCTTGTGACAGAACGGTTGTTCCTTAAGCCGAACTTAAAAAAGATTTCCAAACACGTCGGTTTGTGCGCAACTCATCCAATTTGGAATACCATGTTTCGAGATGTTGTCTTCTATTTGATTTTTCCATCGAAATACTTTTCTCTTCTCTCCTTTTCTCCCGATAATTCTCCATCGCATTACGTGCTTCATATATAGCAGAAGCTATTGTTTTCAGCACTGGTATTGTTAATTTTCTGAAACATATTTTTTCTTGATTTTAATATCAAGTTCAACAATGCAAGCCAACCTCTTTAGGTCTTCTAATTTTGACTGCATGTTGAATGTCATGTGATTCATTCGCATAATCATCGAGTTGTGATTCATTCGCATAATCTTCGAGTTCTAGTCACAATTTTCCGGAAATTTCACAACAATGACTTTGATGGTGTGAAAGTTTTCCCTAAGTCTATGAAAAGTATATTCTACATATTGTAATAGAAGAGATATATATCATCTGCATAATCTAAGACTTCGAGCTGTCATGAAAGACTTCATATCGGAATAGCCTCTTCTCTGAGAGCAGACTTCATTCATTATTTAATCTAGTACAGTACAGTAGGGGCAAAAGAGTTGAAAATAATAGAAAGTTCTGCATCTTGGTACATCGATCTTATTATGGGATTTATGTTGTTGTTGTTGTTCAATTTGCCTGGACTTGATTGATCTGCTGCAGCCTGTTCTAGGTGACTGTTCTGCCATCTACCGTTGCCTAGGAACAATGTCTCCTTCAATTTTGTGCAGTGTTGTATTCAATTAATTCTCCATTTCTCGATTTAAATTGAGATAGTCACATATGAACCTCCTCGAACTTCTCATCATTGAAAATTATATCCCGCCATTATTTGATGTCATAAACTGCAGTTCTCCCCCATATTAATAGCGTTGATAGATTTAAAACAAAGATACTAGGTCATTCATCTGTAAATACATATGTATGTCTGTATATCGTCCATAGCCCCCGTTCCCCATTTTTCACAATCATCCTATATTTATTTATTGTTGTCGTTGTTGTAAACAGCTTTTTAATAATTCATACTAAATAATAGTTCAACTTAAATAATTACTTAATTATCAAATGTCTCGAAACAAATTAGCAATCAAATATTTTTCACAACAACAAATATTATAGCTCGATCCAAATAAAAAGAAAATAACCAAAAATTAGTTTGATGTTAATAAAAAACATGTTCAACATTATTCCATAACATAATCGTAGAACATTAGCTTAGAAATATGAAACTATTTGTGCTTTCTTAACATTTGATGCGATTTCACAAACCCCCAACTTCCCACCTTCCTTATAAAAATTCCTAGGCGGCTGGTTCTACGGGTGCCCTTTCGGTTGTCAGTGACCTCTTGCCTGTGGGTAGTTTGAATGTTCGCATGCCATCCAGTTGTCGTTCAACTGTTTCAGATACCGAATATGAAAATGTAAGTAAACGAAATGAAAAGTCGCGATGTTAAAATAACATCTGAGAGAGAGGTCCTTCAGAGCTGATTCCCATTGGACTTTTGCACCAAATATTTTCCGCTTTTATTTGCGTTTTTATATTATGAAATCTATGATATATTTGTTAATTATTTTTAGACAACAACTTCAAAGGATTCTAAACGTAGTTCAGGCAATATGTGGACTGGAAAATCCACACTGAGTGCTGGTTTTCGATATACAGGTGGTCATTTAATAAATACCTCTTCATCACCATCACCCGATAGTCCTCGAGTATATTTGTTTGAGGGTCTATTGGGTAAAGATCGTTCGAATTTGTGGAATCAAATGCAATTTTGGGAAGACGCCTTCCTGGATGCTGTCAGCCAGGAACGTGATATGATTGGAATGGATCAGGTAAATTTGTAATAAATTTTTAAATAGCAGTAATAATAATAAAATACATTATTTCAGGGCCCAATTGAAATGATGGAACGTTATAAGGCCCTCAGTGATTCGGAGCGTAAACGCTTGGAACATGATGAAGATCGTCTGCTATCGACGATGCTTTATAATCTGACAGCAATATTGGTTATGTTGAATGTGAATAAAGAAGAAATACGCCGTAAAATCCGTCGGCTATTGGGTAAATCTCATATTGGTTTGGTCTATGCTCAAGAAGTTCACAATGTTGTGGATCAAATAAATAATTTGGTAAGTAGTTTTCATATTTAAAAAAATTCAAACCAGGATAGTTAAAAATATGTTTAAAAAAAATACGTACCTAGAAAATTTTTGAAAGAAATGAACAGAACACATGTCAGATTCTATGATAGGGTAAATATGGGCATCCCGTTAAAATGGTGTCATATTACATCTCAGTTCCGACAATGGCTGTTGGATGGCGCTACGTATTTGTAGCGTAGACACGAACTATCAGTGGTTAATTGTTTGAACTAAGAAGTACTATGACACCATTGTAACCGAATGCCAACAATTACCCTACTAATGATCACTAAGTGTTTAGGCCATTTAAATAACTAAAAAATATAAATAGGGTTAATATGGGAAAATTATTGAAATAAATTAAAAGAACACATGCCAGGTTGAAATGGTAGGGTAAAGGTGGGCACCTCGATAAAATGGTGTCAAATTACCTCTCAGTTCGACAATGGCCCTTAGATGTCGCCATGCGTTTGTAGCGTAGACACGAACGATCAGTGGTTAATTGTCTGAACTAAGAAGTGTTATGTCACAATTTTAACCGAATGCCAATAATTACCTACTAATGATCACTAAGCAACGAGGGTGGGGTAAAGGGGCCTTTGACTAATTTAAGAATGCAATAGGGTAAATATGGGCATTCAGCAATTAGTAATTATGAGTATGAAATAAGTTGTGTGGTTATGATATTAGGGTTTTTATTCCTCAATTTAAAAGCCTTTAAATATATATTTTTTCAATCAAACACACATAGCTATGTGCTCTTCGAAGTCTAATTCATTTTTGTTTAAATATTTCTTATATTTTTGTTTTACTTTTAGAATGGCAATGACATCGATTTGAAACCATTGGGATCACGATTATTACATCGTCAAAGTTTCACGGTTCACCAAGGTGTAGATGCCTCTGGCCCATTACGTTTTATGGAAGTTCGAGACGATGGTCTGGTATTGCGGTCAGTGGATGGTACCATTGTCGAACGGTGGTGGTATGAACGTCTGGTGAATATGACATATTCACCAAAAACAAAACTCTTATGTCTGTGGCGACGTAATGGTGGACAGACACAGCTGCACAAATACTATACACGAAAGGTGGGTCGGGACGAGGATTAATGCGAATCCGTAATTAAAATTGTATTTTTCAATTTCAGTGCAAAGAATTGTACAACTGCATCAAAGAAGCCATGGAACGTGGTGGTACACCCACCAATGTTCCGGAGTTGGGCGGTGAATTTCCCGTCCAAGACATGAATACGGGCGAGGGTGGCCTGTTACAAGTGTGCCTTGAAGGTGTTGGTTTGTTATTTGCCAACAGCAAGGTAAGTGGCGAGCGATTGAATTTTTTGCCAATCTATTTTTTAACTTCCATATTTGCTTTTGTATTTTCTGTATTTATCAAAAAGAAAAAATTGAAAATATCAAATTTTTTAAGTTAATTCCTTCCTTTTTCTTGTAATAATTATTAAAACAACAACCGAAAAATATGAAATATTTTTCTTTTTTTTTGTCTCTCATTGTAAACAAAAACAAAATTCCAAAAAATATCAAATTATTAATATTTCATATTAATGAACGTTGTCCGTTCTCGTCCTTAATGGGAAGGTGAAATTTATGTTTTTTTTTTATATTTTCTACTTTTAAGTTTTTCGAACATTTTTAAGTTTATAATTTCATGATAAAAATCATGTCTATTCAAATTGTAAAAAAGAAAACTATATAACTCGTGTTTTTTGTATTAACTTAACAAGTCCTTAATTTTTTTTTAATTCTATTATTTGTATTTTGTTTTTGTTATTAGTTAATGTTATAAGAAATAATTCACGATTTTCTTTTTGTTTTGTTTAAATTAAACATTTTCGCCGTTGGAAAATGTTATTCAATTGTTAATGACAAAAGCAAGGACCTTCTCAACTTTTTTTCTTCCAATTCTAAAAATATTCGTATAGACGTTTTTGTTGTCACTTTCATACTTTAACAATTATTTAGTGTATTTCTTCTTTTTGATATTCATTCAAATCATTGCAATTTAATTTTTATTTTAACAAGAGGTTTAATTGGACCATTATTAATAACAATAATTTTAGATACACTTTTCTAAATAATTCGCATTTAATGGTATACAAGTCATTCACGATCGATCAGAAAATATTTGTTTGAAGATATATGTGGACATTTTATTGGAAATAATTTTGTTATTTATCAGAAATGCATAATACTGAAAATTGAGAGGCCCATTTTTATGGCGACTATATCATGTTTTTTGCACTCCAATAAACCGGTATGCCAAATTACAGACAAGGAAATCCTTGATATTGTCGATGAGAAACATGGACCCTTAGTATTTTTTTCTGAAAAGATATAAAACCTCACAAATGCCAAATGGGTGAAACATTTATAAGGGAACTATGCAAATTTTATATGGACACATATCGACACTTTTCATTTTCCAAATTCCCGGAGTGGCAAATTACAGGCACTTCGGTTAGAAAGTGCTGACTGTACATTTATATAGGGACTATTTCAAAACATGGCACCCTCGAAGAGATCGAAATGTCAAATGTGGAATGGATGTGGGTTTCTTCAACGGTATTTTTTACCCTTCAAGAACCTAGAATGCGAAATCATTGTTACTTTGGTTGGAAACAGCTACAAAACCCTCACAAATACCGACAGTGGAGTGAAACCTTTTGTATAAAGCTATGTCAAAATATGGACCTATATCGAAAATTGTTTGCATAAATGTTTATCGCCCTCAAAAAACCCGGAGTCCCAAATTACAGTTAGACATTTACATATATATCCTTGAATAGATCGAAATGTCAAATTATGGATGGAAAAATATGTCATTTATGAAATTTAAAATACCGATAATTGGGTGATAACTTTCTATGTAGCCCATGTCAAACATGAACCTATCAGCCTCAAACCGAAATGGTTAAATATCCACTCCCTTAAATCCCTCAAAATATATTCCTTAAATTTATAGATACAAAAGTCATTCGGAAAAAATATTCTAAAAATCCTAACGCCTTAATAGCCACCCTTATTGGTCCTTCAAAAAGTATTATTTAACAAACCCATTAGTTTGACAGCACTTTAGAAAAAAATCAAAAGAAGAACGTCTTTTAAATAGTTAATAAATGTCCATCCGATAATATAAATAAAAAAAATTCACGCTAATTTGCAGATACTTCAGGAAAAAATACTAAAAATCTGAATAATGTTTAGAAAAGAAGGAAAACATCCAATATATCTTTGGAAAAAAATGTAAAGAACAATTTTAGTTCCTAAGAAAAATTCGTTAAAAAGTTCATGCTTGGTCTTATAATCATTTGGAAAATGTCAGTTAAGACTGTATCCAATTAAACCTCGAAAAATGAAAGCATTTTATCACATTTTTTTTAATTTAATTTCAATGCATTATTAACATATATATAATATTTTGTTTTTTAAATCATGTCACATAGTCATACATCATAGCGATATTAATTTTTTTTAAATATCACCATAGAAGTCACGCATTTTTTAACATTTTTAGCTTCATAGACATCTTAGACATATCACTCACAAACACATATACCCCATAAATACAAGCAATCATATCTACATTTCATATCATCCCAAAATTTTTATTTCAATTTTTTGCCTTTAAAAAACAGAAACAAAAAACTACAAAATGAAATAAAACTCACAAATGAATTTTGTTAACACTTCAAATAAAAATTACAACAAAACCCAACAAAAATATGCTGCTAGTGAATGTACTGAATGCTAAAAATGCATTTTTTATTCTTCTTCTTATTAAAAAAATATTTAACAACATTTTTTTTAAATAATTGTGTTGAGAAAACAAAGCAAACAAATCAAATTCTTAAGAAGAAAAAAAAACAATAAAAATAAATAATTTTTTAAAAATTATTTTATTCACACTCTTAATAAGCTTTTTCTGTTCTTTTGTTATTTTATTTATTTACTTTTATGATGTAAAACTTTTGCGAAATATGTCCAAAAAAATATATTCTATAATAAATTCAATAAAAAGCGAAATAAAAGCTTTACATTTTTCGTATAAATATATATTTTAATAATTTACTTATTGTAAATTTTCGATGTGTACTCTTCGGTATTCATTTATTTGATTTTTTGTTTGTTTTTAATTTCAAAACTCAATTCTCATCCAAAAATAAAATGAAACGAATCTAATGTGTACGTGATGAGTGGTATTATAATAGAATTAATTACTGTTAGGATTATACTATTATTCTGAAAATTTGTTTATGATATTATGAAGAGGTTTATATATAAATGCCACACAAAATTGTAATCCTAAGTGTCTTTTCATGCCTTCAATACGATATTATATCACTATTAAATTTTTTGTCGGTGTAAATATATGCACACTTACCAGTTAATATATGAAAAGGAAGGTCGAATAGGAAATGTAATATTTTACCTTTAATTTTCATTTTACGAGGAAGCATGTAATCAGAATTTATTACTTACTTAGTTGGCTTGTGGCAGAACGGTTGTTCCATAAATACTTCTAAGCGCGTTAATCTTGTGCGCATAACCTCCAATTGGAAATACCATGCTCCGAGTTGTTGTCTTCTACTTGATCTTTCCATCTAATTATTGGCTCGCTTTTATATGCCTTTTGAGCTGGCGCATTCTCCTTCATTTGGCCTAGCCAACGTGGTCGCTGCAGCTCGATACGACTGACTATATCGAAGACGGCGAATATATATTTTGTAAAGCTCGTGATTCATTCGACGCCAATATTCACCGTCGACGCAGACCGGCCCGTAGTTCTTTCGGAGAATTTTTCTCTCAAACACTCCAAGAGCTGCCCCATCTGCTTGAGCAAGTACTCATAACAGCACGGGTAGTATCAGCTTCTTGTAGAGTGTGCGTTTGGTCAGGCGGGAGGTGGCCTTGTTTCTAAAGTGCTTACTTAGACCATAGTAGCATCTGTTGGCCAACACGTTCCTTTTCCCAATTTCAAAACTGATGTCATTAGTTTTATTTATGGCGGTACCGAGGTATATAAAATCTTTGATTGCCTTTAAGCTGTAGTTCTCAAGATCCACAGTTGGTCCGAGTCAAATGAATACCATCAGCTTGGTAACATGTGTTATTTGGTGTACATAGTGCCATTTCTGTTCACCTCTGCGTTTTTAAGACCTTTTCCAGCAGGATGTTAAAAAGATCACACAACAAACTGTCACTGTGTCTGAACCCGCGTTCGGTATTGAAGGGCTCCGATAGGTCCTTTCCGAATTTAACTGCTGACCTTGTACCATTTAAAGTTATCCTGCATAGCCGTATTAATTTTGCAGTAATACCAAACGAAGACATGTTTTTGATCACCTCTGAGCGAATTGGGCGGTCGAATGCGGCTTTGTAGTCGACGAATAGGTGGAATGTGTAGATGTGTTTTTCGTAGGTCTTTATCAGGATTAGGCGCAGTGTGAAAATCTGGTCTATAGTGGATATTATAGGACCATACCGCATTGGTATGTCATTGACCTTTGGCTTCAGTCGTTCACACAACACGCTGGATAGCACTTTGTATGCGATGGGAAGGAGACTAATTCCTGTATAGTTGGCACATACCGTTTTGTCTCCTTTTTTGTGCACGGGACACAGGATGCTGAGGTTCCAATTATTGGACATGCATTCATCTAGCCAAATTGTACTAATCAGCTGGTGCATGCTCCTGACCACCGATCTTGAATTGTTCGGTTGTGTAATGCATCGGCACCTTCTCGAACCTCATCTTGGCTACGTTGTATACAATCTATACTGTCATATATTATTGGTTCTGCGGTATCTTCTTCTTCTCGGTGACTATATGATACCAGAAGCTTTGCAAACTGCTCCTTCCCGATTCTCAACACGATGTTTGTATCTGTCACCAGGTTTCCTTCTTCATTCCATCAGAAGGATGTACCCGCACCAAAGCCTTCGGATTGGTGTTTTATTCGTTGGTAAAATTTCCGGACTTCATTCTGACTCCTGTACATCTCGATTCACTCACGCTCAAGTTTTTCTTGTTCTTTCTTCTTTTTCTGATAGTACGTTTCTCGTCTCTCCCTTTCACCCGATAATTCTCTCTTCCATTGCGTTTTGCTACTGTTTGCAGGGTGCCCTACACGCTGCATTTTCCAACTCAGTAGCATTACGACACTCCTGATTGTACCACGGGTTTCTTGATGGTGGTTTTTTTTTACCCAAGTGTTGTTTTTGCTGCAGTTTATAGGCAGTGGACAATTCTTTGCCATTGTGTTTCTATATTATTATCGGGACAAGGTGGGTAAGT